CTCCTTTGCCCTTCCAATGTGTTATCTATTTCTGACAATTTAGTATTAATCTTCTGGATTTCTATCTGTAGATTTAGAATCATTTCTAATTTTTCATTGATTTTGTCATTTTGTTCTTGTATTTTCTTCCAAAATTTTTCTAGGGTTTTGTCTGTGTTTTCTTTGGTCTGTCTCTCAATCCCTTGAAGATACCTAAATACAATTCTTTTGAATTCCTTATCATGGAGTTCCAATGCTGCGTCTTCCTCAGGGATGTGTTTTGGGTCTGTATCCTGATCCCTTGTTTCTCCTGCTTTATCTTGCTTCTTTGTGTGAACCGTGATGCTCTGTTGTCTCCGAGGCATTGTAATGTTTTTGTGTTTATATTTAATTGGTGATTATATGTTGAAGTGACTTGCCTACAATTTTCATTTTCTTTGTTTTGTTTGTATGTTATCTATACAGGCAGAGTACTGTGCTGTGCTCCTCCATTCACTAGTTGATAGCACTTATACACTCATCACCTGTCTCCTTTCTTGTTGTCAGCCTCTTGTATGTCCTTGCTGACCCTGGCAAACAGAGCCTGTTCTGAGGTCCCTGCAATCCGAATGAGAATCTATCACTTTAAAATCCAAAATGGTTGCCATTTGTAGACGTTCAAAATCTGCCCCTCAATAAAAGTTCCTTACTTTTAATTTCAACCAGATTGCCATTTCGCTCTACTACGGCATGATATATTTTATTCCATTTTCTTACTTCCAATCCATTTGTATCTTTGGCTCTAAAATGTGTCATTTTCATTCATTCCAAGGATTTTCAGAAGAGACATTTTGCATGGGCTTACATGTGTCAGAGGCCCAAGCTACCATGGTTATTAAGATGCCACTTTATTACTTTCCTGTGGGCACAACTAGAAAGCAGAGGTCCACTTTTTTTCCGTGGAATTATTTCAGTCTGCAACTTGTAGTTTGGATCCTATATAGCAATCAGTATCCTAGTTATCTGTCTACTTTAAGATAATTTCCAAAAACTGCCTAACATCAGAAAAGATATTTGGAGCTCTGGTGGCATAGTGCCTAAGGCATTTGACTGGTGACCAACAGGCTGGTGGTTCAAACCCATCAGCCAGCCACACCTGGGAAGGAAGACTGGGCAACCTACTTACTTCCGGAGAGATACCACCTTGGAAACGCAAAGAGGAGTCACTATGAGTCGGAACCGACTCAGCGGCAACATCAAAAGATACTTAGGTACTTTAAACGGAAGAATTGCCGTACTCCCCCTGTCATCTGTGCTTCTATCAGGTACTCCCTCTTTCCCCCTCTTCCTTCCCAAAAGCTCCTCCTCATCTCCAGCACAAAGCAGTTCAACAAAAAGTTACAGAATGGCCATTACCCATAATCATATGGCTAAAAACCAACCAAACCAAACTCACTGCCATGGAGTCAGACCCGACTCATAGCGACCCCTCTTTGGGTTTTCCAGGTGGTATCACTACGGAAGTAGATTGCCCAGTTCTGGTTAGCAGTCAAATGCTTTTAGACAGTATGCCACCAGGTGGAAACACCTGAGTCTGCACTGAAAGCTAAAGCAATGCAATCCCGAAGTCTTCCTCCTCTCAAGTTGTTTGGAAGTGTAGATAAGGCCTAACAGAGTAAGCAGTCCTTTTAGTCCTTTATGCTCAACAAAGTTTTGTACTTGACACTGTAATTCTATCCCACACTTCCCCTCCTTCCACCCAATCGTGAGCTTTTAAGGGCCTGTAAACAACATCTTACTTCTAAAAGCCCTGGTGGTGCAACGGTTAAGCGCTTGGTTCACCCAAAAGTTGGCGGTTCAACACACCAGGCACTTAGCTAGAAAAAACTGGGCGATCTGCTCTTCTAAAGATTACAGCCTAGAAAACCCTATGTTACATGCCGACGAGTCTGCCCGACTCATAGTGACCCCTCCTTGGGTTTCCGAGGAGTGGCTGGTGGGTTTGAACCGCCAGCCTTCTGGTTAGCAGTCAAGTGCCTTAGGCACTATGCCACCAGAGCTCCTAGAAAACCCTATAGGGCAGTTCTACTCAGTCCTATGGGTGGCTATGAGTCGGAATCCACTCCACGGCACACACACTACTTCTGAATCTCTGATGCCAGCAAAAGTCGAGCAAAGGTAACTATTGGTGGAAATAAATGAACGGACAGCATTTCCCCAGCTTTGAACCTAAATAAATGTGCACCTGCGCAAGCCATTCCACTTCGCTGGGCCTCAGTTTCTCCATCTGAGCCTCCAAGGTCTCCTCAAAACTGACAATCCGTGGTCTGAAATGCTATGGGCTCCCGCTCTGAAACTTAGGTTCCTAGCAACCTACCAGTATTGATTAAAAGAAAGTAAAAAACTGCCCTTCAGCTCCAAGCTTCTGGAGCGCGGGGGAACTACAGCGATCCGGGCGACAAGGCGCCGCTGAGAACCACTCACCTTCTTTAAACCAGGGGGTCATGTAACTCAGGATATAGGTAGGGTCCAGAGTCTTCCTGACGTAGTCCCTGAAGGTGTGCAGATTCCGCCGCTCTTCGGCGGTCATGACTGCGTCCCGACTCCGGGCGAGATCCTGGCCTCGCCCTGCACCCCACAGCCTTTAAAGCCCGGCTGGAGAAGCGCGACGAGCCGGGAGGGATTTTCAGAGAACTCTTGCAGCCGGCTGAGACGCGGAGCTGCCGGGGAACCTGAAGCGTCTGAGGGAAAATCGAAACTGCAACTAGCAGCAGCAGTGTGGGGGCGGACCTGGCCCGAGGCTCTGCAGGCGTTGTGTTGGAGATTCGGGTCCTTCCAGCTTGGTACACTTTCGTTTCTTGACTTGCTGCCTGATTTGCCAACCGAGGCGGCTTGCTGATCCAGAGGGACCGAAGAAGGCGCTTGGGAATGGCGTTTATATGTATGTTATTTATCCTTTTTTTGTTTTGTTTTAATAACGGTAAAGTATAGATACAGTAAAATGCGCAGATTTTTAAGTATACAATGCGATGAGTTTTGAAAAATGACTGCTCAGACACTTTCCTCAAAGTTTAACGAGACTGCCACCCGTTTTCCAAAATGGGCGTTCCATTTTGCATCACCACCAGCAGTATGAGAGTTGCAGTTGATAAACATCTTCCCCTTGGTGAAGCCGACTTAAAAAAAAAAAAAAAACTCACTGCCATGGAGTCAATTACGACTCATAGCGACCCTATAGGGCAGAGTAGAATTGCCCCATAGAATTTCCAAGGCTCCAAATCTTTAGGGAAGCCCACTGCCTCATCTTTCTCCCCAGACAGGCTGGTTGGTTCGTACCAACTTTCAGTTAGCAGCCCAATGAGCTCCTTCCAGCCATCTTGGTGGGTGTAAAATGACCTATCAATGTGATTTTAATTTCACGTGGCATAGTGCCCAAGGAATTTGACTGCTAACCATAAGGCTGGCAGTTCAAACCCACCAGCCACTCCTGGGAAAGAAGACGGGGCAATCTACTTCCGTAGTGATACTGCCTGAGAAACCCAAGGAGGGGTCACTATGAGTAGGATCCCACTCAACAGCAGTGAGTTCGGTTTTCTTTTGGTATATGATTAATAATGTAGAGCACATTTGCAAGTACTTATATTAGCCATTCATAACATTTTCTTATGTGAAGAGTCTCCTCAAGTGTTTGTTATTTTTCTTTTATTATAGATTTACAGAAGTTATTTATTTATTCAGAGACCCTAGGTGGTGCAGCAAACTCAGCTGCTAACCAGAAGTTTGGAGGGGTTGGAGGCTCAAGTGTGCCCAGTGGCAACCAGGAAGAAAGGCCTGGCAATCTACTCCCCAAATATCAGCCATTAAAACCCTGTGGAGGACAGTTAGACTTTGACACACAAGAGCTCCTACACATCATGAGTAGGAATCAACTGAAGGACAACTTGGTTTAAGGACAACTTGGTTTAAGTGTTAATTACCTGTTCTGTACACAGCCCACTGTCAAATATAAAAAACCAAACTCATTGCCATCGAGTGGGATCCGACTCATAGCAACACCTCTGGGTTTCCAAGGCAGTATCTCTGCGAAAGTAGATTGCCCAATCTTCCTTCCCAAGAGTGGCTGTTGAGTTTTAACCGCCAGCCTTGTGGTTAGCAGTCAAATGCCTTAGGCACTATGTGTATTTCAAATACCTTCTCCCAGTCTGTGTCTTGTTGTTCCATTTTCATAAAGGGTTCTTTTGGTGAGCAAAGGTTTATTTTGATGAAATCACTCTTTTACTGTTTTTTTGTGCTCTCTTTAATAAATTTTTGTCTGCTCCAAGGTTGTGAAGGTATTCTCCTATGTTTTCTTTTAGAAATTTTATGCTTTTAGATTTTTCTATTTAGGTCTATGCAAATCTCAAATTAGTTTGGCATATGGGGAAGACAGTACAGTCTACTTCCATAGAGACACCGCCTCGGAAACCCAAGGAGGGGACGCGTGAGTTGAGTGGTCTGAATGGCAGTGAGTTTGTTTAGGTGGTTTTTTTTTTTTTCATGACACATGGTAGGAGCTCAAGTTTCATTGTTTTCCATAGTTTTATCCAATGGTTCCAGCACCACTTTCTGAAAATGTTTTCCCCATTGAATAGCGGAATAGCATCAAAAATATCAATAGGAGATATATATATATATGTGTGTGTGTGTGTGTGTGTGCAGATTTATGGATGATTATCTATTCTGTTCCATTGATCTCCTTGCTGATCTTCATGCCACTGCCATTCTTTGATTACTGTAACTTTCAAGTGAAATCAGTTAGTGTGAGTCCTTCAACTTTGTTCCTCTGTGTAAAGATTATTGTGGCTCTTCAGTTTCTTTGCATTTTCATATGAAATCAGAATCAAGTTAAAAAAAAAAATCTATTGTGATTTTGATCAGGACTGCCTTGAAATTGTAGATAACTTTGGGGAGAATTGGCAATAATATTGAATCTTCTTTTTTTTTTTTTTTAAATTTTATTTTATTTATTGTGATTCGGGTGAAGATTTACAGAGTG